GTGCTCGATATTGGGTTTCTTGGACCAAAAACTCTCATATGGTGTCTTCCCTTGCAAAGCTTTTGTTGGTACTCTATTGATGAGGTAGGTTGAATGACGTACAGCTTCTCCCCACATGTCATTCGGAATCTTCATAGCTTTTAACAAGCTTCTTGTCATCTCCATTAGAGTTCGATTTCTTCTCTCGACCACACCGTTTTGTTGAGGCGTATAAGGTGCGGTTAGATGCCTAGAGACTCCATTCTCTTGACAAAAACGATTGAAATCACTTGAAGTAAACTCTCCTCCTCTATCGGTGCGAAAGGTTTTGATAGACAAACCGGCTTGCTTCTCTACAAACTCTTTAAACCTTTTGAACCGATCGAAAGCTTCACTCTTCTCTTTCAATAACATAGTCCACATGTATCTTGAGAAATCATCTATCAACACAAACACATACTTGTTGTTCGCCAGTGTTGGAGGTGAGATTGGTCCACACAAGTCTCCGTGAATCAACTCCAATGCTTGAGCTGCACGGTAAGTAGCTTTGGTTGGGAACGATTATCTCGTTTGTTTCCCGGCCAAGCATGCATCACATACACTCATCTCGTGTAAAGCTTGCGGCATTCCAACGACCATATCCTTCTTCACCATATTAGTCATAACACCAAAACTTACATGACCTAACCGAGCATGCCATGTTCTTGTAGCTTCATCAGCATGTCCTTCAGTCAGTCCTTCAGCACATCCTTCAGCAAGTCCCTCAGCATGTCCTTCAGCAAGTCCTTCAGCTTGCAAACATGTTGGTTTGCTTATCTCCATTGGCGTCTTGTACAGACGATTTGGTGATCTTATGACTCTTACCAGCAGCCCATTAGGATCATTAAGTATCAATGAGTCTCCTTTCATGTATACTTCACATCCTCATTCGGTTGCTTGTCCAAGACTTATTATGTTGTGTTTTAAATCCGGTATGTAGTAGATTTCCTTGAGGGCTCTTCTCTCACCAGTCTTGCCCATAAACACAATGGATCCTTTCCCTACAATGTCAACAAAAGAGCCATCACCAAACTTCACTTTTCCTTTGACCTTTTCATCTAAACTCGAGAAAAACTCTTTCTTTCCCGTCATATGGTTGCTTGCTCCGTTGTCGAGATACCAAACACTTCCACTGTTGGTATCGTAGTTCTTAGGGAACACTTTATCCTCGTTCAAGAACACCACTTCGTGAACATAAAGTGCTTCAGCTTCTTGCGTCTCATGCAAGTTAGTCTCTTGTCGTCCGGTTGCTTTCTCGGGATATTTTGATGAATAATGACCCTTCTTGTTGCATCCCCAACAAGTTATTCCTATCAACGCTAGTCAGGTGGAGCTTAGCTCAAATGATCAATAATTCAATACACTTATTTCTACAGATAATTATTAATCTTTAAAGATTGTCTCTGAAATTATATTTTATGATAATTGATGAAATATAAATTACACATAGAAAAGTGATTTAATATATGTATACAAGGTATTATTAATGGTACTTCGATAAATTATTTTTTAAAAACATTTAGTTTTCCAGGTATATGTGTTTTTCAAAAATCAATAATAATTTAGGCTATTTTACAAAATTCTCATAATTTCTTTATACTTTAATAAGCTATAGTTTTTAGCTATATTGATTTACATATATATATTCCTATAATGAACTCTACTACTAAATATATTTATTACAAACAGTTAGATGAATTTTATGTTCGTGTGTTTTTTTTAATGCAAGCTATATACATTTTTATTAGATAGTATATAAGACCAACATTTCTTGCTTGTAAACTAAGACTGTCCACGAGAATGACTTGAGTAGTACTCACGAGTCGCGCGACCATGTAGCTTCTGCTCCAAGACATACTATTACCTTGGGAAAACTCAAAACTCACACGTTAATTTTTTATATTATCGTAAACTTGGTTATGGGAAGTAATTACTCAAGCGGTGACCTTCTCTAGTCTTTATTTGTCCATCAAAGTTCGAGCTCAGTCTTAATTTAAAGCTATGCACCAAGACCAACGTACATCAAATTAATACTATATAACTAATTAATGGTGATAAAGCTTTCAACGTTTTGCTATTTTGAGGGGTGGCCCTTCTTTTTAGAATGGATCTTTGTCCTTAAATTTATTTTTTACCAAGTCTCGTTTCTTTCTTCTATTTGGATTCTTCGTTCATAACCGTAGATGGACACGTTATGCACACATTTTATTAGCTTTGAACAAAATCTGTAACGCAATCTTCTTTTTATTGTCACATGTCACCGATTAATGGTGAACGGCAAAAAAAGATTTTAATATCAAAAAAAGTTATAAATATTGGGTTGGGTATAATACTTCAAACCAGTCGTTACTAAAAGTCATTGGTTAGAAGTTGTTATCGCTCCAAAATAGTAAGTGGTCAAGCCGAGCCTAAAACAAGATTCAATGTAGTCCCTTAATTGTCGTTTTTAGTAACACATGTACATGTACGTATTATATGTAATATGGTTCGTATACTAATAGACGCATATAAAATATACGGGGATTGGTCACTTGGCTCAATGTGGGACAGTGGCCAAGAACACTGCACTAAACCTCGGGGCAGTGCCGGCTCAACAGTTTTATAGGCCCTAGGGCGAAAAAAATTTTAGGCCCTTAGATTTTTTTTTTTTTTTTTGTTCTTTGTGTTATATAAAAAATTTTATGATATTTTTATTAAAAAGTTAATTATTAAAACTAAAAACAATAATAAAAATATTTATGGGCCCTTCTAAATTTTATTTTTATGTTGTAATTTAAAATTTTAATATATTTATTAAAAAAAAAATTAAAATGGGCCCCTTAATTATTGGAGCACGGGATTGGACCCCTGGCCGTCGCACCGGTCGCCTCCCTATCTGAGCCGGCACTGCCTCGGGGTTTGTCTTTTGTCAATCCAAAGGATTCTCCATGTCTCTCTCTTCTTCCCACTTTGGATTTTCAGAATCAAATCGTGCTTGGCTTCTCTCACACGACCTTTCTTAATCTTATCTTCCTCTCCGGTTTCTCTTTTATCTACAACATTATTTGTGGATTATATACTCTCAAGATGTTTTGAAGAATTTTTTTAGATGATCTACCAAACCAATGCCAAATTATTAGGGTCATTGTTTGAAACTTGAAAAGATTACAATGACGTAGAGGTGTCGATTAGTACTTAAATCTAATTTCTTGTTCTTGTTTTGCGACATTCAAATTAATAATTTTACTTCTTAAGGTCTTTGGGCCAAATCTGATCACAAGATTCCATGTCTCTTCGATCATGTTTTGGACTGCTATAGTTACCCCTCTCGTGCTGCTCGTCCGACTGTCCTGACAAAAAAAAATTCTCTTATTTTGTTTTTGGTTTCATCATGACTTGTAATTTTCATATTGGCTTTGCCAACCCTAAACTAAATCAGAACTCGGTTTGAGATGACATCTATCGACACAAAATTACAAAACTTGAACTGTTTGGAATTTTATTTTAACCAAAATTGGATTATTCAGACTCATTTCACGTCAAGTTACTGTTTGACACTCTGCGAAGATTAATACAGTATGATATATCTTTTATATTAAAATATAATTAAAATGAACACCTAATGTTTGATTGACAATAAACCGAAGTGCTCACCCCTAATTTAAACAAGGAAATTAACAATCTCAATGTAAAAAAATACGTTTCTCAGATAAATAAAATGTTCACAAAACATAAAATATTCATCTTTACACAGTTCTATCAAACCTTTTAAAAATCGCATTTCTTAGTTCAATCACTATCAGAAACATAGAATAATTTCACTTCATCGCTGGATTTTAATTTAGGTAAAAAAAAAATCATTGGACTTTAGTTTTATCAAAAATTTGAAAAGAAAATATAAAAAATAAGCGCCAAATCCTAGGTTGCCCGCCACGTTACTTCTCTCACTGGAAATGAGAAGATTTTACTGAATAATTTGTAACAGTTTTTCCTTAAAATATTGAACAAGAGAGGAAGTAGAATCATATAATAACAGAAAATAAAGATTGAGTCCCTTTTTGCACTGGTCGGAATTACTCATTTGGAAAACAAATAAACTCAAATAGTAATTTTTACTGTTGAATAAGCACTTTAGAAAAACACATCACGTGACAGGTTGTTCATAAGAAATGAATGCATGGGACGAAACAGCTAAAGGAAGTCGCTACAGATGTCGGTCAAACCTAGTGAGAAGTCATGGTTTTTTATACAAAAAAATATTTTTACACTGTAATCTTCAAATGAAAAAGATTAAAATAAAATTGGAAACAGTTAAAAAAGAAATTAAAAATCGGGGACCGGGTATCTTGGGGTCACGTGATATGCATCGTAGATTTCGAGACTAGAGGCCACGCGCTGCTGACTCAGATCTTTATAGAGGAAAAATATCTCATTTGTACACGTGTCATGATTCTATTTGCTTATATGAATGCGGCGTCTCGTTTGGTTCTCTGTATCAAATTTGTGGCTAATATATCACTGGGAAGAGACGAATTGTGAATGTTTAAAAACCATAAAAAGAAACAAGTAGATAAACAGCTAATAATATAAAAATATATATATTTTCTACTTATTATTACTTCTTATAGTTACCAATCATGGCTACCAAAATATCATGTAAAATTTTTATGTTTCATAGAAAAATATAATCTTACAATTATTTTTTTTATTTGTTTCATATTTTTCTCGTCACTTTCAAAACTGATAAACTAGAATTGATAATTTTGTTTGTATATTAAAATATGTTAGGCTGTATGAAAAATGTTAAACTGATATATTTATGTGAAACGGTAAAAGTATATATATTTCAAAAGTGAATTTTGAATCTTCTTCACATTAAGAAAAAATGGAAATAAGTAAATAATATAAAAATATTTTTTTCTATTTATTAATTTTATATATACCAAATATGGCTAAAGCCCGAAAGATCCTATAAAGTAGGATTTAACAGTGACTTCTGAATCTTCTCACTTTAAACTTAACAGTCTCTCTTTCTCTTTCTCCAAATCTCTGATAATTTTCACCAGAATCTCTCTGTTTTTTTTTTTTTTTCACCAGAATCTCTCTGTTTAAAATAATAGGTGAAAGGAGGGATGTTGATGGATGAGTATATGGATCTTAGACCAGTGAAGTACACAGAGCACAAGACTGTTATCAGAAAGTACACTAAAAAGTCGTCTCTAGAGAAGAAGACCAGTGGTCGTGACTCGGCGAGGTTGGTTCGGGTGTCTATGACGGATCGTGACGCCACTGATTCATCAAGCGACGAGGAGGAGTTTTTGTTCCCTCGAAGACGTGTCAAGAGATTGATTAACGAGATCAGAGTCGAGCCTAACTCCTCCTCCTCTGCTTCTCCGATGAAGGACAGGAAAAGACTCACCGTTGATTCTACGGTTCAAAAGCCCTCTGTTTCTGGCCAAAACCAGAAGAAATACCGCGGCGTGAGACAGCGACCATGGGGAAAATGGGCGGCGGAGATTCGTGATCCGGAGCAACGCCGGAGAATCTGGCTCGGTACTTTTGCAACGGCGGAGGAAGCTGCTGTCGTCTACGACAACGCAGCAATCAAACTTCGTGGCCCTGATGCTCTTACCAACTTCACCGTACCACCAGAACCCGAACCGGAACCAGAACAAGAACCGGAGAGCAACATGTCGGTTTCGATATCAGAATCAATGGACGACTCTCAACATCTATCATCTCCGACATCGGTTCTCAACTACCAAACATATGTCTCGGAGGAGCCAATCGATAATCTTATCAAACCGGTTAAACAAGAGTTTCTTGAACCAGAACAAGAACCAATAAGCTGGCATCTTGGAGAAGGTAATAACAATATTGATGATTCATTTCCATTGGACATTCCATTTCTCGACAACTATTTCAATGAATCACTACCCGACATCTCCATCTTCGATCAACCTATGTCTCCTATTCAAACAGAGAATGATTTCTTCAACGACCTTATGTTGTTTGATAACAACAACACAGAAGACAACCAAGTGTTCTTGGTCTAGTGGTTGCCACTTGTGGAGGAGTTGCCCTGTTGGTCTAGGCCAGGGATCGATTCCCCGCAAGCGCGTAATTGTTAGATCTCCACTTGGCCACATGGATATGGGCCCTTGCTTTCGGCCCATTTGCATACCCGGAGAGAGAGTCTATCTGTGGGCTGTACCTCCCCCAGGGGATTAGTCTGGGCCCCTCCATAGGTCTGGGATTCCCCTGAGTTATCAAAAAAAAAACAACACAGAAGACAACGACTCTTCCGATATCAAAGAGATTGGTTCAATGTTCAACGATCTTGATGATTCTTTGATATCCTATCTTTTACTTGTGTGATATTTTTGCCATAACCAAACACCGGTTTGGTTGCAAATATCGCCGGTGTGAGTCAAATTTTGTATGGAGTTTTGATAAGATTTTGTTTTTTTTTTCTTTTTATTTTTTGGGTGTTTTATGATTTTGTTAAGAAGTAATTTAATGTTATCGTCGGCTTGTAAAACAGTTTTGGAGAAATATTGGGAAAAGAATAAACTCATTAATTTAGTATTAGATTTCTTGTTGTTGTTCTTGTCAATTTCTTTGAGTTGCACGAACGTGTTTAATTTTTTGTAAAATGAGTTTTGATTATAAAAAGCGAAACTAAAATTCTCTTTGGCGAGAGAGACCACACGAGGATGCGCAAATCACGGTAGTTACCGGTGGAGCAAGTGGCTTTTGGGTCAGGTCTAAGTCAGTCGGTGCTCTTTTTACCTTTCTCTCTATAAAAAAGTGGGTTTTGTGTTCTGACGCTAAATGAAATAAATCAATTTGGAAATTAGAAACTATCCTTTTCAGATATGAAATTTCTAAGAATAAAACTTTGACTAAAATATATTGTTACTCGATTTGTTTTTTCTTAAATTAATGTTGACTGATTCTCAATCAATTATATTATGAAATAATTCGACACTTTCTGGTTGTCCTTATATATATTTTCTTATAGACAAAAAGGGTAAATATTTCCTTAAGTGAAAGTAGAATAATGTTCAAATGCAATGAACGCCCAACCAGAATAGCTTCCATTTAGAGCATGATTATAGGTAGTCTCTTAGAAATACCTCTTAGCATTATTTAAGTAATTTATTTGTAAAAGGGATTGTTAAGAGATAATATTTTTGAGTTAAGATTTTTGTGTGATTAATGGTAGGCTCTTAACATGTGGTTGTTAGAAAAAAAAATATTAATATAAAAATAAAATTTAAAATTATAGAAATTTAATAATTATTGCAAATTAAAAAAATTAAAACATACATGAGATGAGATACAATTTATAACATACATGACATAAATTTTTAACATAAATGATGTATTGGAGCAAAGTAATTGGTGTTTGGTATATTTGGTGTAATTGGTGTTTGGAGAGTTCATAATCACATCAACAACTTCTCAAATGCAAAACAAAGATTCATAATCACAGTTTATGTAATTCACCAAATCCAATTACTATGAAGAATGTATGTAATTCAAAAACATAATCAAGACAGAAATTTGGTGTCTTCTATTTGGAGTCCAGCCACAGCTGATTCCTCTCCTTAACAAGAAATCATTCTAAGGAACATGAGTTTTTTGGTTACTTACAGCGAGCTCTTCGACGTCTATAGTGACAAATATCATTGAGGTGTATGTGGATGCAAGCTCCTGGTATATTGGTGCTATTTTCTTACAAGGTAAACACCACGAAGCCTTGAAATTCACTACGAGCTGTTCCATGTTACAAAGAATCAGATCATGTCAAGCTATTTGCAGAGGAAGAATGCAAAACAACAAATAAAGGCAAATCATAGGAGGCAGAGCTTACAATTTTGCCTTGCCTATTAGCTTCTGCGATCTTCTCCTCCCATTTCTCCATTCTACTTACCGGATGGACCTTCCCTTTTATAAAGCAGGACCCTTTCTGGCCCCAAGCTTGAGTCTTGTTCCTTCCGCTGCAACAACATATACATGAACACACCTGTTTAAGAACATTGAACGGTTTTAATAAAACTTTGCTAGTTAGATTTGACCATGATCTCCATGAAACTCGTCAATGTGAGGGTAAAAGTAATACCTTTCTACAACAAGGAATTCTTGTACAATGATTCCCCATTAACTTTCTACACGACCAAATCCTAGCTTGGATCATTAGCTCACTGAATCAACAACACAAACAAAAACCATTTTTCTCAATATTAACAATGCTAAACAGATAAAGGAGAAATTTACAAATGAATAATAAGGATCTCAAATAAAGGACCTAGCTATTTTTTGGGTTGATAAAAGAAGAAAATTAAGAAAGGATTACCTCTAGATCTTGCCAACTTCAGATTGTTCATGTTCTTGCATCATAATCAGTTTCAGCCGCAAAGCCAACGAGCAAGAGATAAAGCCGAGATCAAATATCAAACACACAGATAATCACAAATCCACACGCATGCACCACATTTATAACACACAGATGATTCTTTTTCCAACACTCAAAACTCTAACTTAGATCAATCGGGAATAACACAAAGCATAATCTGACACAATTCAAACACATTCAAATCAATACAGATTGAGATTTCTATTGGCAAGAAAAGGATAACGTTCAAACACAAGCCATCACCCAAATCTATCGTTAACCACCGGACTCAATTAATTCCAATTGACAAGATCAAACAAAATCCAATTTCAAAATTTGACGGTTTCAATTCCACTCATCAATCTCGGCTAAAAGAAACTGAAAAAATGAAAACAGATCGAATTCAACACGATATACAAATGAAAAACAGAGAGATTCATATCATGGGAAATAGATTGGAGCATCCTTGAACCAAACTCTCTGATTTGGTGAACTCTTGGGCGATTGAAAATCGATTTTTGGATGCGTTAAAGATCGAAAAAAGAGAGAGACGATGAAACAAAGAAGGAAACAAAAATTGTCGATGAGAGTCGATTTCCGGAAATCATCGTGATTTCTCTGATTTCTCCGTTTTCGTGAAATGAGAGAGAGAAAAACAGAAGGAAAAATAAAACATTACCCATACAAATTACGCCACGTGGACGTCTCTTAAGGCAAATTTTGTTCCTTAATTTAAATGGAGTTAAAACATTAAATTTAATCATTATTTTGCCTAAGATTTGGCTAAGAGTCGGGCGATAATAATAGATTTATACAGAGGAAAAGGCAATGTGCCTTTTGGATTTGACTTTGGGTAAATAAATTCGCATTAGTAGAGACGACCAACATGCTCAGTTAGTAGTCCTTGGGATTCGACGACTACCCAAAGCTCCCTCTGTTTGTATTAAGTGCACATGATAGGGATCTTTATATAGTCCAATATGACAATCGAATGCCAAAATGATTTTAATTTTTAAAAATTCAAGACCTCGGACAAAGTGTTAAATTGGACAAAACACAGTTAAAACCAAAAAATTGAGGGTTAAGAGTTTGAGGGTTAAGAGCACAGCATTTACATACACACATTACTGTCTTGTAGTTTCACGTGACTCTCTTTACCCCTCCCGACCAATAAATAAAGAAAAAATCACAGTAGAAAGAGAACAATGCAAAGGACTAAGGGTAAAAACGGTAAAACCCCAAAAAGATGAGATGATGAAGAGAGGCTCCTCTCAAACTGTAGAGAGTCAACGGCTAAAGGCATGTTCTCTTGGTCAGGACTGCACTTGTTTAGGTGAGGTGGGTGTGGACTATACATAATGGCTCTTAACACAGCTGAAACGGTGGGAATGTATGCCGTTTTGTTACGAGCCAGTAGCCATGTGAGTCCCATGAGCTTGCAGTCTTTGCTCATCATCTTACTCCCTCTCTCTGTTGTTGTCTTCTTGTTTCCTCCTCTAACATTTAGCTGTAATCCATCAAAAATTTGAAACAAATACAAGAATTTTAAGTAAAAAGTTTTTTAAAAATGGCAAAAAGATTGCGTGTGAAAGTGAAGGGTTTCAGAGTGTTGCAGTGCTTTGGGCTAATACGAAAAAAGAAAGTTTCTGAAAAAGCACATCTCCAATTGTTTGCAACCTAAAAGGATAGCCAAAAGAAAAACAATGTGGTTGTGTGTGTATGTGTCTCTTTCAACATAAACCCTAAAAATTAGCAGTAAATTTTTTGTAATTGTGAGTTTGGTGAACATGTTTCTCATGGATAGAGAGTGACAGCTATTATTGAACATTCTGAAGAAGACTTCACGCAAATGAACGCAAAACATTTATTATGCTTTTAAGGATAAGAAATTTTTCATTAAATGCTATGTGAATCCTTAGTATAGGGACATAAAGAATGAAAATTTAATGTAACGGAATGCACAAAAAATTGAATTTTTAACCAAAAAAAGTTATAAAAATTGGACCTTTTGAAGAGCACCGAGGCATCTGGTACAACCGGAGTAAGAAGAATTCCGACATTCTTTTTCAAGATTCTTCACGGCGGCGGTGGGAGTTGCGTTTTTTAAGCCGGAGGAGACATTGAAAGCGGCAGGACAAGAGAGTGAGCTAATCTGGTGGAGACGAATGCCACAGAAGCACAAGATTGCATCGCAGCTTGAATTAGGCTGAGGGATTTTGATTTGTTTGATCAAAAGCGCACTTTGCAATGTGTTGACGCACTTCTGTGAGTCGTCAGGCTTCATGGGTTCGTCGGGGTCAGAAGATTCCGGCGTTGGAGCAGGAGCTGGTAGCTGGAGAGCAGAGCGAGCGTGAGCTGCGAAGAGCCAAGCGGCTAAAACAGGGCAACATCGACTCCGGTCAAGGTTTCTTCCGCAAGCTTCGTTGACACCACCAAAGAGCTCGTTGGAGAGGTCAAGTCGGCAGCTTTGAGCTTGGGTTTCGACGGGGAATGCCGGTACAGTGTTGGGTTGGACCGGTTCGGCGAGTAGGTTGCTCAAGACGGTGGAGCAGAGGAGAGAACAGAGGAGGAGGATGAGTAAAGTGAGACTCTTCTTCATTGTAAATGGCTAGAGAGAGAGAGAGAAATGGATTTAGAAATTGAAACGTTTTCTCAAATCTGAGTCCTTTTAGATTCTGAGATTCACGAAGAAAAGCAGCCTTCCATTATTCACTATCTTCTCTCTCTTTTGTTCTGTCCAAAGGACTATTGTGAAGAGAGAGAGAGAGAGAGAGAGAGAGAGAGAGAGATGTGATGGAAAAAAAACAAGAGATTCCTGACTTTTGGCAGTTTCTGGTTTGTTTTAGAGTCTATAATCCCTTTGTAAACTGTGCTTAGCTCCCGAAATTATAAGCCTTGTCTTTTTGCTTTGTACTAGTAGTAACTTAGAATCCTTTAACTACATTAGGAACAGTGGCGGAGCCAGGATTTTTGTTTATAGGGGTCATATATATTATTATTTTTATTTAGTTACATATTAATATTAAATAATATATTTATCTTGATTTATGATATTTTATAGAAATATATGTGAAAACAATTTTGAGAAAAAGGACAAAAAAAAAAACAAGATATCCAATGATACAAAGAAAAAGAATCAATATGTAAAAAAACTATTAGAGAATTGTAATCATTTTTTAGGAAAAAAACAAAACAAACATAGAAAGAAAATTAATGATGAATGAAAAATTAAATATGATAGGGGTCAAAGACATAAAATTATGGCATGACATAGGGGTCAACTAGGAAATTTTGTACCAAAATATCTAAAATCATTAGATAATTTACCTTATAATTTCAAAACTTTAAAATGTTATGGGGGTCAGTTGACCCCCCTCCCTCTTAATTGGCTCCGCCCCTGATTAGGAATAATGTATATAGTTCATCTTTATACATATACATAGTCATGTATTTTTGCATGTATTCCCTAACAGTAGGCTTTTAATTTTGTTAAAAGCTAGCAAAAATATGTGAAAGAGAACAATTTAAAGATAGGAGTTAGTGAAAATAAATAAAAATATGAATGGTTGAGAAACATAATGAGCCCTTGCGAGGTGAGATTGAGATGCGAATGGAGCATAGTCACAGAAAGAAAAGGGTCGATATCTAAAGGACAAAACACAAAACTCTCTAGTCTCTACAATCATATATTAAATCATTGATTCGCTTTTTGAGCATTGACAAATCCAAAAGAATGTAAACCTCTTTTTTTCAAACGGGCAAGGAAAATGAGCCGGAGGTCCGCCTAGGGAAACGGTCCGTCAGAAGAAAAGTGAAAACTCCAAAAGGCGAGAAAAAAGGAGTCGTCCCTACTTTTCACTAATACACTTCCTAATCTTCCTCTTTTAAGTTCCTAATCCCACCAATTAAAGCATTTTCACACGTTCTTTGTTTGCTTGCTTACTTGCCCATCTACCAAATAGTCAAATACATTATCTATATAAGACTTAGATTTAACTGTTTGATACTTATCTTTGGCTTGGAATTGAAAAGGAAAAATATTATTTTATATGTATATACGTAGTTTAAAGTTATCAATTGGTTTTAAAAAAGTAAATCCATAAAACTTAGAATGACTGTTCAACTGACTTCCACAATAAATCTAACAGCTTCAGGAATATAGGCCTTATATTGGGCCTAATTAACAACTCCAAGGGCTTTAATTGGACCTTGAAGTGGGCCTAGTTAATGTAACTCCCCTAATTAACTTGATTGACGCTTATATTTCGAACAAAGCAATAAGTGATGTGTTTGCTCCTTTTTCATTTCGTTTTACGATAACTTGATAGACGTTTTATAATTTTCTGATTGCTTCCGTCGACTGTGTATGTGGACTTATGGAGCAGAGTTTAGATAGCTCGCCTAAACTTTTAATACATTAACCATTCATGAAAATTTTATAGACTAATAACTTTATCTTTGACAAAACAAAAACAAGAAGTTTATACATCAAACAAAAGAAAGAATGCAACAAAGAATCATATGTGAAAGAAATATATATATGTGTATGCATATGTTGGAAATTAAAACATAAAGTCATCTAAGATGAAATCTTCCGGAAAACCAAAGTCGAAGAAACTGTTGGAGTTGGCTCCAGCTTCAATGCTATCTTGTTGTGGAGAAGACATTGGCGTTGACATGAGCGAGTCTAAGTCAAAACTCTCTGACAAAGGTGGTAATACATCTGCGGAAGCAACGTCGTCGAGTCTTGCGTTCATAAGCTCGAAAGATGAAGTTTCATTGTTTGTTGGGGTAGTACTCTCGGCTTGTGGTTGAGACGATTCTGATGATGTGATTGGAGTTTGAAGATTTTGGTCGAGGTTCGATGAGTAAACTGTATTAGGGTTATGAAGTGGCAAGAGAAGGGAGGCCAACCTCAATACATCGGGATTAAGCAGAGACGACGCATGTGTTGCAACTGATGAAAAGTTTGGCTGATTGAAAAGTGCGCCTAAAAGTGAGGACAAATCAAGAAGATCAAGGCGTGGAGAGTGAGTAACAGGATCGATACCACTCCTTATAAGTCTCTTGCGGATATGAGTGTTCCAATGGTTTTTTATTTCGTTATCGGTCCTCCCTGGTAGACGAGCTGCTATTGCAGACCACCTAAAATTCATCAATTCAATATTAGTGACATTAATCTATGATTAATATAAGTCTCCTCTTTTATTATTCTAATATAGGTCAATACGTACTAGTAAAGTACTAATGATAGTTTATTGGAGTTGATTGCCTACATTTGACATGTACGCTCCGCATGCAAACGTACACTCTCACTTTTTCATTAATCAATATGAATTTCAGACAAATAATTATGGTGTGAACGAAGCTTACTTGTTTCCCATAACACTGTGTAGCTGAATGATAATTTCTTCTTCCTCGAAAGAGAATCTTCCTCTCTTGATGTCCGGTCTTAGATAATTGGTCCATCGAAGACGGCAGCTTTTTCCGCATCTTTGGAGTCCTTTAATTTGTACAATACAACTTATAAGTGTGTGATTCAATAAATTGAGAATATATTAACCTAATCAGAACAAAAATATAAGAAATATAGATGTGTATAGTTTACGTACCAGCATTTTTGGGAAGAATACGCCAATTGCCTGGACCATGAAATCGAATATAGTCGATGAGTTTCTGATCCTCCTCAGCCGTCCATGGTCCCTTCTTCACTCCATTTTTATCACAACAAGGTGACCTTCCCATCTTTGTTTTGTTTTACACAGATATAATACAAGAATCGACGATAGATTTCAATAATGATTTAGTTCTGTTATGAAGATAAAAGAAAATCAAAGTGCCAAGTGGAGTTTCTTAAATTTCGAAAAGAGGACTTGGATTTTAGAAATGTCAATGTGTGGATGTACTCATACCTTCTCCGTTCATTTGTTTATATAGGGATGTGAATTATGCGAAGAACTTAGTTAATGCGGAAGAGAGCCAAGGTCAATTCCACTTGGCATGTACCTAATATGCCACGTCCTTTTGAGCCACAATATCGTCTTTGTTTTTTTACTGTATATTCTAGAAACGATCCACGTGATAGTATGCCTGGTATTTTAATCTAATCTATCTATCTAACTTAGATTCTGTGATCAGTACAATTAATAATATCTTTTGTGTATATTTTGGAGTGAATATATTGTATTTGTATATAGATAAAGTTGACACTAGTAAGCTCTTGGAACATTTTAACACATCAAACAAGCCATCAGCAGAAGAAAGCACTATTGTTGCCTAAAGTGGGTGAAACAAGAGTCTTAAGGACTACCAGATGATAGGGATTTGAGAGAAGATTATTGTCTTCTTGCCCTGAATCACTCTCCTTGCCGCTGTTTAGGTCAATTGATGTACAGACCTTGGAGTTAAGACTCAATAATAAATCTTAAAAGCAGTTAAATATCAATAGTTAGTACCTGTTAGCCACAAGGCGGAGTTGTCTAAAGGGCCATATATATACACCTTCCAGATTTATTTGGGCACCACCCACATTTTGTTCATTGTCAAATACGTCATGGAAAACAACTACACCCTGTTTCATTAACGTTGTTAGAAGTTCAAATATTGTGTGCTACAAGATCAAGGGCGATCCTATCATACAGAGTTTAGAAGCTGAAGTGTTCACCTGAACATAGTGCACACCAGTTATCTTTGTAGGAGCTGCCACTAACTCAACCACAGAATTACCATTTTCTTTTTGAAAGTCTTGAAACTTCGAAGAGCTATTGACGGAATTCAGAAACTTCCAAGTTCCTGAAAATACCCGCTTTACATTCGATAAGTAGTCTAAAACACTAAGCAACAGACATATACCCACAACATCGTACACAATCCTGAAGAGGCAAGACTTAAAAACAAATGAAGAAGGACATGCCACAAACCTCTATATGTTCCTGTTATATTCCATGCAGAAAACGGTCCTACTTCAGCTTCTTGTTTCCTACCAAAGAACCACTGCAAGATCACAAAGGCCTGACGTATTAAACCATAACTCAAACATTGCCTGGTCAGTCTAACGTAGATGAGTTCACTTTGCACAGTCTTGCTATATAATTCACTAGCGATACAAACTCAAACTGTAAATGTCATAGCATTCACCGGCAGAACAAAGCTTGAATTTCCGATGAGCTCAATCGAGCTAAATTAGATAGTATATACAAATTCAGCTTGCTCAATCAAATGAAAAGATGAAACTTAGACCAGAGCTACTCTACTCCTAGATTTTCATTCAATATGGTCACTGTCGTTATATCATTATACTCTGA